GTGGTGGCGCAAGCCCATAATCCCAGCACTGGGGACGCTGAGGCAGGAGGATCACTGTGAGTTTGAGGCCGGCCTGAGCTACACAGCGAGACCCTGTCTCAAAAAATAGTAATAATAATTAATTAAAAACGTAAAATGAAGCGGGTGGATTTCATTAGGTTTTGTACCACAGATGCCCCTACTTACAATTCGGTGAAGTCCCAATCAAAATGCGTCAAATACACGTGACCTACAGGCCGTCAGAATGAACACCCCGCACCTGGTAGAGTCCCGGTAGTGTCCCTCATGGTCACCAGGTTGGCTGGGGCCCACCTGCGCAGCATCAGGAGAGAGGGTTCCATGCCTGGGAAAAGATCCAAATTCAAACTTCCAAATACATTTTCTACTGAATGAGTATCAGTTTCCCACCACAGTAAAGTCAGAAAATCATTAAGTCAACCATTGTTTTTTATTTTTATTTTAATTTTTGAGACCGGGTCTCCCTATGTAGTCCAGGCTGGCCTGGAGCTCCCAGCGATCCTCCTGTCTCAGCCTCCTAAGCACTAGGATGACAGGTGTGTGCCACTCTGCCCAGCTTGACCAAATCTCATCTGATTCTCTTAAATGTGGACTCCTTCCTGGCTCTCTCCCTGATTCAGCCTCCTCTACGCCACATAGTGCAGCCTGGAACTACATACTGAGACCCTGTCTCCAAAAAACCGAAAAAATGAGGTTTGGGCAAGTCTTTTCTAGATTGTTTGTTTGAGACAAGGTCTCAATAAATGGACAAATTACCCAGGCAGGGTTTGAACTTTGGATCCTCCTGCCTCAGCCTCCCCGTGCAGGCATGCAGTAACACTAGTGTCAAGACAGAATGTCGGGAGCCCCTCCAGGGGATCATGAGGTGAATCACCAGTGATTTCTTTTTTAAAAAAATACCCAAGACCCACAACATTTATTTTTATTTATTTATTTATTTATTGCAGTACTGGGGATCCAACTCAGGACCTCGTGCTTTCGAGGCAGGTGCGGTGCCACTGAGCTAAATCTCCAGCCCAGGGTGTTAAATTATTTTTGGTACTGGGGATCAAACACGGGACCTTGAGCTTGCGAGGCAGGGGGTGGCACCACCGAGCAGGATCCCTGGCCCAACCACCATTGGTTTCTAAGACTCTGACCAAGGAGATCAACTCTTCCCAGCTAAAGCAGCAGGTCCCTCCCCCATCTTCCAATGGTGATGCAGGCACTTGGCCGCAACCCACCTGCCCCTGGCCCCACCCCAGAGCCAGAGTGCATCCCAAAGCTGGCCGCCTCCCTCCATCACCAGCACCTCCACCTGTGCCACCACTAGCACTGTCACTGTCACCTCCAGCCTGCGTCCTGTGGGGACTCCCTGCGATGTTGCCTGCGTCCCTCAGGGTCTCCCACCGTCCTTCTCACACGAAGCCAGAATCCTGTAGACACAGCAGTCAGCTGTGTCCTTCCCCAGCTTTTGGCTGTCACTGTCCACCCAGGCCTCCCTCCCCTGACTCGACCTCCTCTGCACCACTGAGCCCCTCATACCTGCGCCTGCCCCTCCCTGCTGGCTGCCTCTCTCCGGTCCGTCAGCAGGGCCAGGCTGAGGTGAGATGGAAAAGCCCCTCCCGCCCTCCCCCCACACACCATCCAGCACCGAAGGGTCCAATCACAGGTGACTCAGAGTACAACTTCTCAACTTCATGATGGTTAAAAGAGAAGAAAAGGTGTAAAAATGAAATGCAGACCCAGACTCAGGAGGCTGAGGCAGGAGGATCACAAGTTCAAATCCAGCTTGGGCAGCTTAGCAGTTTAGCAAGACCTGTCTCAAAAACCTTTTTTAAAAATAAACACTCAAAAAAAGTAAGTTTTCATTTATTTTTTTTAAAAAAAAAAACACTTTTTTTTTCTTGCTCTGTAATTCAGGGTAGCCTTGAACTCACTACATAGCCCATGCTGGCCTCAGACTTGTGGCGATCCTCCTCCCTCAGCCTCCAAGTGCTGGGATCACAGGCATGTGCCACCGTGCCCGGCTCTATGCTGCTTATTCATGTTTTGCAGCATTTTGTTTAGTTCTGCTAGCTTTCTGTTATTTCTTCTGTAGACTCACTGACCATTTTGTTTATTGGGCCCATTTTCTGCTTACTTATATCTCCTGTGAGTTTGCCAAGCACCTTATTGATCTGGTTTGTTATTTCCTTTGTTAACCCTTTGAATAATTCCACTGTGTGACTTTTAGTTTCCTCCCTTCGTGCCCCATGGATCAGCTTTGGGGGAGCGGGGAGTTTTTGTTGCCTTTTTTCTCATGTTTCTGTTTTTTGTTTGGTTGGTTGGTTTATGTATCGTGCTGAGGCTTGTGGGATGATTGTAGTAGCAAGCTTCATTGCTAGTATGGAGAGCTCTTTAGTTAATATCTACTTTTCAGTGACACTTCTGGATGTGGGTGACTATTTGCCTTTGCCTCCATCCAGAGATCCACCTACTTCCATTTCCTTGGGTTGCCCTGGTGCGCCAGATGTTGGCTGCAGAATCGTTAATGGCCCCAGGACAACCCAAACCTTGGCATCCCAAGGAAACCAATTACTAGCAACAACTGTGTCATCTGGGCTACAGTAACAAAATCAGCAACAGTTCCATCAAAGACAAACTGGATATCCACAAACTCTAAGGACTCATAATGTTCCAGTCTTCACCATAGAAAAGAGATCTATAATTACAGTATGAAAGTTAAGACAAAACAAATATTGGCCTACAGTAAATACAGTGGTACCTTGGTTCATGAACAGTTTTTGTTTTTTTAACTTCATGGGGAATTTATTCAAATATTTGGGAAGGAAATACAAATCATATTAAATCTTTCACATACCAAAAGGTTTGAAACTCTTCCATATATATACATATACATATATATATATACATATATATATATAATTAGAGTATTTTTAAAAATGTGGTTATTTTTTAAAATTTGATTTTATTGGTACACTTATACATAATGATCATGTTCATCATAGGGAATTTGCACCTGCACATAATATAATTTGCTTCTTCTTTTTCCCCCAATTCCCTCCCCTCCTTTATGAACGCTTTTATTTGCAAACAAATTGGTTCACAAACAGAAGTGTTTGGCAAAATTTTGTTTTTGTTTGCAAACTCTGGACCATCTGACAAACACAACTGCAGTGGGACCAGGTATTTAGCTCAGTGGCACAGCACCTGCCTGGCAAGCACGAGGTCCTGAGTTCCATCCCCAGCACCAAAAAATTTTTTAAAAACAGGCGGGGGATTTAACTCAGTGGTTCTGCTGCCAAGGCCCCAAGTTTGATCTGCAGTACCAAAACAAACAAACAAACACAACTGCAGCCATGTTTCCCACACAAACAAACATGGCCATGCTTTCCAAAATTGTAGAACAAATTACATTTGTGAACTGAGGTTCCTGTATCTACTAAATTGAACAACTTTACCTCCACTAACAATAAAACAGTATTCAACAATAATAGTCTAAAGTTAGATATCTAGAGAGATTTTAAAAACAGGAAATGTAGAGGGAGTGGGCAACTGAAGAGTGAGAAAAAAATTGAAAATTTGTTCAGTAGGATATGAGAAGAGAGAAAAGTGTGATAAAGAAAATTAATCACATTTAAAAATAGTTGCATGTGCCTGTAGTCCCAGCAATCTGGAGGCTGAGCCAGGAGAATCACCATGAGTTCGAGGCCAGCCTGGGCTGCATAGCTAGACCCTGCCTCAAAAATAAATGAATAAATAAACAAACAAATTAAATAAAAACAGTTTCAGAAAAGAATGAACAAGAAAAAAGAAGAAAGTAAAATAGTCCAAGGCTGGGTGAGGCAGCGCATACCTGTAATCTCAGCAGTCAGGAAGCTGAGGCAGGGGAATTGCAGCAAATTCAAGGCCAGCCCCCAAAAGAAAAACAGTACAGGGCCAGGGATTTAGCTCAGAGGTTTCACCCCCTGCTATGCAAGCCCAAGGACCCGAGTTCAATCCCCGGTACCAAAAAATTTTTAAAAAGAAAGAAAAGAAAAACAGTACCGGGCCGGGGATTCAGCTCAGTGTTTCTGCCACCTGCCTTGCAAATACAAGGTCCCAAGTTCGATCCCCGGTACTGAAAAAAAAAAAGAAAAACAGTACAAAGATAAGAAGGCAGAGGAAAAATAAAAGAAACCAATGAGAAAACAAGACAAAAAAGAGAGAAAAAAATTCTATTCCCCAAGGAAAAAAAAGATGAAGACAGGAGAAAAATAATTAAAAATTTTTAAATGGGCCGGGGATTTAGCTCAGTGGTTTCGTCGCCTGCTGTGCAAGCGCAAGGACCCGAGTTCGATCCCTGGTACCAAAAAAAAAAAAAAAAAATTTAAAAATTTTACAAATTGAGTCAAAGAAAAAAATTCCTATGTGCTTTTGAATGAGTGGTTTCTTTCCAGGATCTGCAGTCTTGGAATCCAGCCAGTTATACTCCACTCCACCTGGCTTGAGGGCCTGTGGGTTTTAAGTGTGCTCTCCCTGCACCAGAGGCCCCTGTCCCTGCACCCCCAACCGTGGCTGTCGTCCAAGCCAAGGTGTGTCCTTGCTCACACTGGGAGGTGGGAAGAGCAGTCGGCCCTCTGGTCTCTGCTGGATGCAGGCCATCGGGCAGGGGTTCAAGTGGACTATTGGGCTGAATGCCAGTACTTGAAGGGTCTGGCTGCTCACTTCTCTCCCTGAGTGTTATCATCATCCAGGATCAAGTTGGTTAGTCCTCACCTCTGCTGCCCTGGTCCAATGGGAAGCAGAATGTAGAGCCGGCTTGGAGTTGGCAGATGTAGGCTCTGGGTTTGAATGAGGTGTCCGAGTTGTGGAACTAGAATCCTGGGCTGGAAGAGTCCACTCTGGCCCCAGGGAGGCCCTGGGCCACCTTTCCCTCCCTGGTGCCCCCTGCTGGGGCCCAGTAGTTGGGTCCTTTGTGAGGTGAGCAGAAGCAAAGGGGACCCCCAAGTCAGTGTCAGTAGGTGGTGAGTCTCCCCGGGGGAGCAGCTCCCCAGCATGGCAAGTGTGGTCGTGAAGACCATCTGGCAGTCCAAGGAGTTCCATCAGGCTGGGGACACCCCTGCCAGGGTCGAGAGGAGGATCCAGCTGGGCCCCGAGGCTCCCGGGAGCATGACCGGCCCAGCCAAGGGAGTCAGGAAGAAAAAGAAGGCTGTGTCGTTCCACAGGTAGGTCTGTCACACTATGTCACAGTGGTCCTTGGGCCAGCACTCAAGGTCCTGCACAGCCCGAGTGCCACCGGGGTGCTGGTAGAAGGGAGGGAGGAAGACAGGAAGGAGAGAGGACTGTGGGAAGGAGCTGGAAGCAGAGAGGAAGGTGGTGGCCAGAGGGAGGGAGAAAAGTCAGGGGACAACTTAATGTCAAAGCAGGGCTGGGGTCAGGCATGAATCCAGCCCTGGCTCTCAGGGTTTGGGTAGTGGGTTCATTTGCCCGCATCCCACTAAGAGTAGGACAAGAGCCCTGGGTACAGAGACTCCCCTGTAATCCAGCACGCTGGGAGGCTGAGGCAGGAGGGTCATAAGTTTGAGCCCAGCTTGGGCAACTGAGGAGCTTAGCAAGACCCTGTCTCAAAAAAAAAAAACCTGAAAAGGCTGGGGATATACCTCAGGGAGAAGACCCTGGGTTCAATCCCAGGCTCCAAAAAAGGAAAAATGAGTTTATTTGGCCAAATTGGGGGGTTGGCTGGTCCTCCTCTCCCCAAGGGAACACAGAGACCCTGTCTCCAGGGTGCAGGCACACGGAACCCACACCAGGAACCAGGCAGACAGAGAGTTAGCCAAGCTGTGACCCGGGTGCTGAAAGTGTTACAATCTGCTTGGAGCCAGGGCTGGGGTGGAATTTAAACTCTGACCATGAGGAAGCTGAAGAAACAGCTCATTTCTTAACAAAAAAAAAAAAAAAAAAAAAAAAATCCCCCCTCTGTTTTGTTTCTTTGGGACAAGTTTCTGCTATGTAGTCCAAGCTGGCCTCAAACTCAAGATCTTCCTGCCTCAGCCTCCTGAGTGTTGAGATTACAGGCGTAAGCCACCACAACGGGCTCCAATCCTCATTTGTAAAGGTCCATTTTAACCTTTACAGGGAGACCAGTGAAGGCAGAAGAAAGCAGGAAGCGGGGACTGAAGAGGCAGAAGAAAGGCAGCAGGGGCTGAAGAGAGAGAAGATAGCGGACCTGGGGGAAGGCGAGAATGAAGAAAGTGGGCTGTGAGGCCGGGTCCCAGGGCGCGGGCCAGGGGCGGGAGGCAGGCGGGTGGGCGGCGCCCTCCATTTGCGCTGTCGCCTCCCCAGCGTGGAGCCGCGGACGCCACACGAGCCAGTGGACTGGTGTCTCAACCTCAGACGGTCCTCGGGCTGCACCAACGTGTCCCTGCTCAACCTGGCCGCCGCTGTGGAGCCCTGGGACTCCTCCGGCACCAACTGCATCACGGAAGACAGCGGCCCGCTGGAGCTGCCTGGCCCCCCGGCTGCCCCCGCCCCACCCTGGGCTGCGGATGACCCGGACATCAAGGAACTTCTGGTAAGGACAGGCACATCTGCAAGAGGGGCAGGGAGGGCTGTGGACTTGGAACAAGAAAGTCCTAAGTGTCCCCCTGCGAGCCCAGCGTGGCAGTCCATACCTGTCATGCCAGCACTCTGGGAGGCTGAGGCAGGAGGATCACGTGTTTGAGCCAAGCCTGAGCCATTTAGTTACTGAGCGAGGCCGTACCAGAAAAAGGAAAAATTTAAAAAGAGCTGGAGATGTGGCTCAGTGCGAAAGCCTTTGGTTCAATACCGTACTGCAAATACATATATATATATGAAAATATAAATAATAAGTAAAGCTAATAGCCGGGCGTGGTGGCATGTGCCTGTAATCTCAGCACTGGGGAGACTGAGGCAGGAAGATTTTTTGTTTTGTTTTTTGGTACCGGGGATGGAACTCGGGTCCTTGCGCTTGCACAGCAGGCGGCAAAACCACTGAGCTAAATCCCCGGCCCTGAGGCAGGAAGATTACTGAGAGTTCGGGGCCAGCCTGGGCTACACAGTGAGACCTTGTCTCAAAACAAAGTAGCAGAGCCAAGCTGGTGGGGACTGGGGGTGGTGACCCTGGTGGGACAGTAGGGGTCACTGTGGGAACCCTGGAGAGAGAGGTCTTGGCCATCGCCTGCTGTGGTCGAGGAAGGTTGTCCATAAGAGGGACAGCTGGATCTTGAAGCCAAGGCGATCTCCCCGTGAGAAGACAGGCCAAGGTGTCCCAAGTACCAGGGACAGCGTGCAGGAATGGACAGGGCTGAAGACAGCCCGGGAAAGAGGTGACTTCAGCTTAGTCCTTTGGCTGCAGTTTGGTTTAGGAGATGAGGCTGGAGGAGAAACCCAACAGAAGAACAAAATTCTACAGGCAGTTAGAGAAAAGAAACAAATCACCTACAAAGGAAAGCCCATCAGAATCACAGCAGATTTCTCAACACAAACCCTCAA